AAACCATCATTGGATCATTTTTCTTCAACGAAAACGAAACAGTCGATGGAAATCGATATCGGTGGATGTTGGCTCATTATGTCTGCCCACAAATGTGTGAAAAAGGTCTTGAAAGAATCCAGTTTCTGCAACGAAAATTCCCTGGACGTCTGATGTCAAAAAGAGGTGACATTGACTATCCATCCAAGTCTCAAGATTTGACCCCACAGGGGTTATTTGAAGAGTCAAGTATATGCCAGCAGGTCCCATACCACTATAGAGCTCAAGGTAAACATTCGAACCGCAATCGCCGCTATACCACCACAGATGCTCGAAATAGTAAAGGAAAACGCAGCAAAACGGGCACATTTTGTTTTGGCCAATAAAGGTGGCCACTTGGTAGATATTGCGTCCAAAAACTAGTCTCAATAAATTGTAAAGGACCATATTTAAATAAAATCTCATGCTTACGTACCGACATAAAAGATGGCTCACCCTGTAGATATGTGTAGACCTCCAAACGAACTGAAAAATTATCGCATGGCAACCTTCAATGACATCCAGCTCAGGAGAAGATGATTTTTATGCCCTCTCCAGACTCACGCGCGATTCGCGCGCGAAGCCGCGAACTACCCGCGATCCATGAGTGTGGATCCCATTCGCGTATTCTTCGCGGCTTCACGTCACGTTCGCGCGTTGTTCCCGTTTGTTGTCGGTTTTTTGTCCCGCGACAAAGGGTTCGCAAGGCGCGAACATGACTAGGCTCCACATTCGCTGGTGGTTCAGTTGCCTCATAGCGAGTGTCGGGAGTGGTTGTGTTTTTTCCACTTATTTTCAATTGCTCTAGTTTTACTTATATATGCGTAATTATAAAATGCCAAAGCGCAAAGTAGCACTGCAGCAGCAGTAGCAATTTCACCATCCATTCTCGTCAAGACCGCGAACTATACTGTGAAGCAGGCGCGAACATCTGCGAGTGTGGAACTGTAGGAAGAAATTTCGGGATTCGCACCGCGATCCGAGCCGCGCGTGAGTCTGGAGAGGGTATGAAAACTACGTATCATAGCCCCTCCAAACTCACGGCGAGAAGTCTCAGCGAGACCCGGCGAGCGCGAGAGAGACGGGCGAGCAACAGATCATATTCACGCAGCTCGGGGGCTCTCGGCGTGAGTCTGGAGGAGTTATTAGAAGATCTGTATTGACGAGCCAGACTCCTTGTTGACATTCCAACATGATTTTTTGCTCTTCTCACCAATCTCTCTGACCTTTGTGTAGCAAATGCACGTGGTCTTCCACTTTTGGGAGATTCAGACATGGTATTCCCTGTTCGCACTCCGCTATTGTTCGATAAATGTTTTTGCGTGAAATGTTTTCGTTCTGCAATATTCGACAGATTTCAGCTTTCGGTACCCGCCCAACCAAGATACTTATTTCTAATTTATACTACATCTTAAAGCGAAAACTTCAAAATAAATATATGTCAACTGACAGTAAAGTAAGGAAACGAACTTTTGTTTCCAAAGGCAACTTGATATTATTTTTCGTTTGTTAAAATTAAAGCCAACGAATTTTGTGCCAAAACTTTCAGGACATACAAAAATAAAGTTTTAAAAAACTAAAAGCAGTTCAAAATCAACAGGGCAACATTTTAATATAGCGCATTCCAAACGGACTGCACTGAAAATTACAAAAACCCATTCTGTGGCCCCGGATTCCGAGGCTTACACTTGAAGCCGCGTACGGACCGAGATTCCAACGCAAGCCAAGGCACACGTGGTTACATATTTGGAGGTGCCAACGATTTCCAAGGTCGACGTTGGCGTTCGATTGCGTTGGCTCCTTGATCGGTACATCAAAGTGAGGTTTGACTTGGTCTGGACAGGATTTGTTGCGGTTCTACAGTATATTCAGATAAGAGATAGACCGGACATAAACAAGACCACGTGATCATCGAACGCTGTAACATTCGGCATGGACGTATTAAGAGTCACGCAGTACATATTTTAGATAGTAGATGCTGCTTTGCGTAACTTTGTAGTAAATTAGCACAATTCGATGTGTATACGATTGGTGATGGATATAGGATCATGTGGGGGTGGGGTAAGAAATATATAATGATGTAAATATACATAAGGGTTTCAAAATTTTCGCTTCGATGTCCAGCTTCGGATGCCGTCTGATGTTTGGTGAAATACAGTCGAATATAATCTCAAAATGGCGTTTAAATTAGCCTAAATTAAAAATAATCGTATATCTCTTAAAATTGTTTTTAGAATATTGATTAGTATATTTTTTGGTTTCTAGGTAAATATGACCAAATTAAAACGTTCAAAACGTAAAAAAATGTGCATGGTTGAACATTGTCAGAAAGTAGATTCTTGAATAGGTTTTGCCAAAATGGGTTCAAAAATGTCAATAATTAATTAAAAAATACAGTAGCTTTATAATTACTTATAACTTACCGAATTTGATGAACGACATCTTTTATTGGAAAGATGAGCTTGATGAGCTTTCATCATCGCTACTGCCTGAAGCATCAACGTCAATAATGAATGGCACGACTTGTTCCTCTAAAATATTGTCCAGTTCCCACATTCTCTTTTCAACTTTGTCTTTCACGTGCTTAATACAGTTTTCCCATTTTTGCGCTGTTATTAATTCTAGTGCTTCTTTGAAAAGTCCTTTGAGGTCACAAAATTTAAAAGTTGTATTGTGCTTAGCTATATAATTTTTAACCTGTGCCCATATGAGCTCAATGGGATTGAGCTCGCAATGGTATGGAGGTAAACGGAGCACAGTTTTATTTTGACTTGCTGCCATTTCGTCAATGGCGTATTTTTGATATTCCGCCTTGTGATCCTTGACAATTCTTAATAATTGTACTTTCAGCATTGCTTCTTCAAAGTTGATATTTTTCGAGCGGAGCCAATTTTGAACATCAACTTTCCTTGAAGCCGTTGTTGGGACCCTCTCCATTCTTCGAGAATGATAAGGCGCATTATCCAACACAATTACTGCGTTCGGTAAAATTTTTGAAAACCACTGTTCAAACGATTCGCCATTCATTTCCTCGTGGTAATCTCCAGTTTTCTTAGCACCACAGACCGTCAACAACGAATCCATCCTCACTGCCTATATGGCAGATAATGAGCCTTTTCCCTTTACCTGGAAATCGAAGTACTAACTGGTGTAGATTTATTTCAATAAGCGAATCTTTTTCAAATGTTTTCATCACATTCAGCGAAAAAACATTGAGACATGAGTATCAGATTGCTATAATTGGGATTATTTAGTCATATTGAAAGAAAGAATATTGAACGTCGTATGATTACTCAGCGCTTCACAATTTAATTTAAAGTTATAAACCTTTAAAAAATGAATGATCAGGAACCTGAAATACGCGCAAATATTAATATTAACAAATTATAACTTTATAAAGCTTAAAGTATGAATTAAAATGATTAGAAATATTAGGAACGGTACACAATATAAAACTTAGTAACTTTTTTTAAGTTTATAATATTCGACATATTTTAAGATTATATTAAAAAATTATTGAAATATCGAAAACACATAAAAACATTGCTTAAAAAAGTTCTAACAAATGAAAATGACAATAAAACATCCACGCATTTTATCGAAAGTTATAAAAGTTTTGTTACTTGTAATATGTTTTATCTGCCCCCTGGAATTAATGTTTAGAACCTTGTTCCCTAGGTTTGAAAAACATCCGATTGTTGTCTATTACTCGTATTTACCTGCTGGATTTTTTAATCCGGTGGACAGTCCATCTAGAAAGGCCCTCCTGGATAAAGTTACAGAATCATCAACCCATACTTTACTTGTAGTGTGTCCTGCGTTTACCCACGTTTCATCAAGGTAATAAATCTTCCTGTTTTGATTTCTATATTTCCCAATTTTTGTTAAATAATCCCTCCTCCATAGCACAATTTCTTCTCTATTCAGTAGTAAACTATTACGACCCCGTTTTTTCCATTTGAAATTTAAATGCTTCAGTAACGCATGGAAAGTTGATCGTTTGAAATTTGGCAACGTTGTATCTCCATTTACCTCCTGCAGTACTTTATCTATAGTAGGTATTTCATTCCTAAAGAAGAATTCATGCACTTTCCTCCTAATCGCATGCTTATCAGCTTCATCCAATGATTTAACAATACTTTTGCGATGTTTACTGGTCATTGGCTCAGAAAAGGTGTGATTTTTTTTGTATTGTCTTAACACATTAAACACTGATGCGCGACACACCCCAACTTTGTGAGAAACCTTCACAACAATTTCTTTGATGGTTGATGCCTCGTTCTCCTCGCGCTCGATCTTATATATATTCAAAATGACGTCTTTCATTTCTGCACTCAGGTGTCTTTTTTTAGAGCGTTTCCTAGGTGGACTACAGGAGTTTACAACTTCATCGGCAGTATCTGTACTACTGGGCATTTTGCGCAAGCAGTTGATAACAATAACAATCAATAACAAGGTATAACAATAACAACGACAAACTCAACAACTTAATAAGATAACAAACGAAAACGTCCAAAGAAATATCAAATTGCAATGATGCACACGACATACGTAACACGTCTGAACCTGAATGTGACTCTGCCTTGATAGGACTGCTCTGCCGCTCGGCATAGGCATTTAATTGCGAATTGACCAATGAGGGCTCCTGTTTTACGTCGAGACGGCGGCGTTAGCGTGAAAATCACCCGAACCTTTTGTTTACATCCGGTCTATCTCTTATCTGAATATACTGTAGTATTTAGTCATTTATCTGCATTCGATGAGAGGAGACTCGGCGCTCGACATTAGCGCCGAACTTAATTCAACGCGGTTCAACTCAAAACTAAATTTAGGTGCAGACGAACGTATTCAATACCTTCCAACAACAAACGCCAACGTCACAAGTGCTTGCATTAGTTTGCTCAGCGTTGGATTTTCGGTCTGTAGGCGGCTTAAGAGTAACCCATCATGAAATCTATTTTGAAAAGTCCTCGACCCTACAGATCCAAGTGGCAAGCCGATTGGCAGCACGGTGCAAATCAAGATTCCAGTGGTGGCAACTGTCATCCAGCAGCACGAGAGTGGGGGGCAGATGTCAATGTCCGTCATGAGTCCAGGACCGAACGGGGAACTTGTTAACCATTCCGGCATGACCCAGACTTCCAGTAACAATTACGTTTATAGCTCCACCCTTACCAACGTTGATTGTTCTGCGAGTGGTAAGCAGCAGTAGTCTAACGCTATCTATACAGGATGTCCGCAAAGTTGGGGTTTTCCTTTACACGACGCGAAAATAAGCGAATTTTTTTTTGTAGCATATAAACCGTGTTAAGGGAACCGATGTATTGGGCTCCGCAGACTCAATCAAATCTGAACCAAACCGAAGCCGGTCCCGTCCCTTGATCACGTCCACAGCGCCAGCATACATTTATACGACGTACGACTACGATGTAAATCCGCTAGTATGCAACCTAACCTAGGCGCCGGTAGCGTAATTCAACAAACAACATTGGTAACCGATTGCTGTTCGAAAAATAAAAAAAATGGCACACTCATACACCAATAGCGAACTAGTCGATATGGTGTTAATTTACGGTGAGTGTCTTCAAGCTGCGACCGAGGCTTCGCGAGTGTATGCAGATCGTTTTCCGAGACGTGATCATCCAACGCCCCGTAAATCTGTTTACCTCGTGCAGGGACTCAGGGATACGGGTTGTTTGGAATGTCGAGGTGGGCACAGTGGGAGACCTAGAAAATTCCAAATGGCGCAAACTGAGGAAGAAGTACTGAATCTCGTAGACGAGAATTCTTCAATAAGCACTAGGGATGTGGCTAGACGAGTGCAAGTGTCGAAGACTAAAGTGTGGCAAATGCGTTTCACGCGTTTCACGTGCAACGTTTGCAAGCCCTCCAAGCTGAGGATTTTCTTGAAGGGTACGGTTTTGTGATTTTTTTCTTTGAAGCGAAATGAAACGCTTGGTGTACAAAACTGAGGTCCACACGGTTAACGAATTACCTCTGATAATTGAGCAAACTGCTGCAATAGCACATGAGTTTTTGAATCCAACGGCGACAACTTCGAACAGTACTTTTAGAATGCGTTCACTAAGAGAAAGTGACACCGACATCATAAATTCGATCCCTTTTTTTATTTTTGTTACATGTGCTCTACGGATTTCACGTCAGCATCTTACTTGAAATTTCAATCCAACTGAAGAGTGAGCACTTTTTCATTTTTTTTTGACTTGTTCGCTCACGTTTCACCACACATTAGCTTTGTTATATCAAGCGTTGTCTGAAAAGCAAAACTCCAACTTTGCGGGCACCCTACAGAGGAAGAGTAGCATGAGCATTGCGCGCCAGTGTTAATGCGATGTGCCTTTGTAGCCCGGTCAGGGAATACCAAATATTCTCAAAACCTTGAAAAATTCTATAATGGACGAAAATTTGGGCTTAGGTAAATGAAATAGTCTTATTTAGCATGACTATAAGGAAAACACTGTTTTTACTGTTCTAATTTATTACTCTTACACTAATTTATCACTACACTTACAACTTTTGTGACAAATATATAACCATATCGACTGGATCATACCGTGTGACTCATCGGACGCTGTCCATTGACTGTCGTTTCCGCCATTTCAGCGTATATTTACGTACAGCCGCGTAACTCTGGTTGCCTAAACGTCGATGTTTCTGGACACCTGTCGAATCTACTGGTCGAAGTACGAGGATATGTCGCTGGTATCCAGAGTTGCAGTTATACGAAGGCGTTACTTAATGAAATTTCCGGATCCTGCGACGAAAAGCTTTTTGATTTTAGATTTTTTGTTACGGTTCTGCAAGCATTATATATAGAAAAAAAATGTTGAGGCAGGTTTGTGCCTTGGATGCTTCTATATTTTTATATCTTCATTCGCTTATGAAACAGAGTCACGTTTCTAGAGCAGGCCAAACGTAAATGCGCGTAGCTGAGTACAAGAAAGCGTCGTGTTTGTTATGGAAAGTAGGCATGTTGTTAAGGTAATTTCAAACAGTTTTGTCAAGAGCTTCAGGATTCTGCTATTCAGGCCTCATCTCAAGCGTTGGGGAGGCAAGGGTGGTATTTAAAGTACATTTGGTTCAGAGAAATCTGGTTTTAGGAAAATTTAGTAACGATAAACCTTACTCAAATATACACACACACACAACCCCCCCCCCCCCCCCATACACTCACACAAGTACGGGGTGATTCACAAGACGTGACCAAAAATGAAACATCATACACAAGACCGCATTTTAGGGGCGTCTTCTATGTAATATTTCTTACTCTAGGGCTTCATTAAAAAGCAAAAAATTAAAAAACTTTTTTTTAATATCTTCAAAACCCTCAAGTGGAGTGAACTAAAATTTAGTGTGTGAATCCATCTAAGCATTGTTCACATTCAAAAGTGTTTACTTAAAATTAACATGCACCAGTGGCGGAGACTCAAGGGATCAGTGGCAAATAAAAGTAGTACGCCACTTTCTTTACAGATAATTACTTTTGTGTTGTTTCCTAGAGTGCGCTGTTTTCGTAAAAATAAAAATAAAACAAATTAGACCATTCATGTAGAGCCGAGATACAATAATTAATTTCAAAATAAAATATGAGGCCTTGATACCACCTTAACGTTGCTTGGGAGGTAATTTGTCCAAGTTATGTGTTATATGGTTATTATCGTCACTACTACCATTATTTATTTTTTTTTTGTAAAAGTGAAGTCAAATGTTTCCTTTTTCCATTTTTGAGTGTTTTGAAATGGAATTTAACTATGACGAGTACGCCGATATTATTTTTGTGTAGGGGTTCTGTAATGAAAATGCTTTAGCGGCTTATCGGGAGTATCAACGTAGATATCCTAACAGACCCCAAAGGTTTTTACTAATTCGTTTTCTTTTATTCCTTGGAAAACAATGCACTCTAGAAAAAAAAACAAGAGTAATAACTAGTAGAAAATTGTTGGTAAAATTCCAAAAATTGGACGGTTAGAAAAAAAACAGTGGCGTACTATTTTGATTTGGAAAAATCATGCCACTAATCCCCTGTATCTCCGCCACTGATGCACGTTTATTTTAAGTAAAAACTCTTGAATGTGATCAATACTTAGGTATACCACATACCTTTTTTTTCTTAAAAAATATTGGCAAATGCCTATGATGCAGGAGTAAACAGTAGAAAAATTAAACATTCTTACAGATAACATGCTGAACATGGGCAGAATGCCGTTGAACCATACCGTTACGTCAGCAAACGTCATGAAAGATGTCAATATTGAATTCTTCGATGAGAAAGGTAGAAGGGTTGAACAACGGGACTTCCAAAAGGATCTTGCTAGTAAGTGAGATACAAGAACGTACCTTCTATTTGTATGCATGACTGGATTATTGGGTTCTTAATTTTATTATTTATTATATAACACGCTTTTATTAGCTTGGCCTGTAGCTGCTTTGAGCATTATTTTCATCAATTTCCAAATTAATTTGAAACTCGCACACGTATCGAGGACCGATGAAAATGCAATAATTTGATAACAGTTTTCCATTATGCTTATTAGGACCGCCAGGATTGATAAATTATTTTATAAATCCTATGTAGGGGAGTGATAGAGCTAGCGCGCGATCCGTGCATGCGTGCCGTTACGGACTTGCTCTTTGTTTATTCGGGCACTCGGCTCAGCACAAGGGAGGCACAAACTTTTTCATTCTCACCTAGTTTATTGCGAATGTTGCCATTAATCCTGAGTTGGGCTTCGACCGTCCACAAGATGCAAGATTGTACAGTCAATTACGCAGTCATTTATCTGCCGGACAAGCTTATGTAGCACTTAGTCGTGTAAGATCTTTAAACGGTATTCGATTGAAAGACTTGATTGCTCTAAGTTAACAGGAGAACAACCCATGCAACAGTGAAGATTCAAATGAAATGATTAGATTACGGAATGATTCGTAAGACATTTCAGTACCAGATGTCCACAAAAAACTAATTGATAAATCAAACTATAAAATGAAAAATAAATAATAGTTTAAAAGAATAAAAAAAACACGTTTTTATATATATATATATATATATATATAACTTGAGACGTGGTCATTGTCGTCTAGACCAGTTAGGCGAAAACTTAAAGCTTCCGCCTTTTGTTGGGTACTTCGACAAAATTTAAGCAAGGATGACTCTTTATACTTTTTTTGCTGCAATTACATTGATAACAGTAGCAACAATAGTGTAAAATGAGTTTAAATTAACTTACAGTAGTATGTGAGGATGTTGCTAATTGTTGTTTACATTAAGGATGAGGGAAACACCCAGTAACATGGTGAAAGCTGGATAAATGGTACAATGGTCAAAATTATATAAAATACACACAGCTGTATGACAAGAACAAGTTAAAAACAGATTAAAAATTTTTAGAAAATGAAAGTTAAGCATTATATCGTGAAGCCACTTGATGATTGCACAAAATGGTGGGCATGGAATAATGAGTGAGATGAACCTTTTGATGGATGGCCGAAGGTTAGCAGTGTCTGTGTAGAATGATGCAATGAAAATTCTTTTGTGGGCGTGTGCTACGTTGCCAAATCACTTCAGATGGTGTGATTTTCAATATGTGTTGGGTAAGAAACGTATCAATAAGAAGACAGATGTCAAGCAACTGAGTGTCATTTACTCATATTTGTTAAACTGCGAAAAATTGGAGCAATTACACATCTCTCCAAATTTTGACTCTTCACAACCATAAATGGAATCTGTTTCTTGGTCTATTCCACCAATAAACTCCATTCCATTAAAATTTTAATAACTTCATAGTTAAATAATAACTGGTCGGTTTGACAATTTCTTACCCAACACATATTAAAAATCACACCATCTGAAGTGATTTGGCAACGTAGCACACGCCCACAAAAGAATTTTTGTTCCATCATTCTACACAGACACTGCAAACCTTCGGCCATCTGTCAAAAGGTTCATCTTACTCATTATTCCATGCCCACCATTTTGTGCAATCATCAAGTGGCTTCACGATGTAATGCTTAACTTTCATTTTCAAAAAATTTTTAATCTGTTTTTAACTTGTTCTTGTCATACAGCTGTGTGTTTTATATAATTTTGACCATTGTACCATTTATCCAGCTTTCACCATGTTACTGGGTGTTTCCCTCATCCTTAATGTAAACAACAATTAGCAACATCCTCACATACTACTGTAAGTTAAATTAAATTCATTTTACACTATTGTTACTACTGTTAATTGCAGCTCCTGATGATGATGATGGCAAAGACCATTGAAAGCTAGAGAGAATAAAAAAGTATAAAGAGTCCTCCTTGCTTAAATTTTGTCAAAGTATTGTGGCGGAAGCTTTAATTTTTCACCTATATATATACAGGGTGACTTTGAAGTTGAGTCATTAATTTTCACATAATGATTGTAGAAGGAAGATAAACCTAAATATGTGTGTAAAAATAAAAAAAATTAAAAAAGTTTTTTTACTTTGTTTTATAAAGTATCCTCCCGACAAGTATTTCAGTGCGGACCTGTATTTGATCGTGAGGTCTTGGAGCACCGGCATGCAGTCCCCTGTGAGGTCTTAAGTCACCTGATTCACGAGCCCGTTGTACTACAGTAACAAAGGGGTTGGTTGCACTCGATTGGGAAACCGATCCGCATAAATATGTGCCGTTTTTTATTACGTTTGAGCCACGCAGCAAACACCACTATTCACTCACGCGTTACCGACTGACACAGACTGAATAAAAACATCGTGATCAGCGTTTCAAATTCTTTCGCTTTTTTGTTTCCGATGCGATGAACCGATAAGGCGGAGTATATCTGTTGTCGCCAAACACGAGCACATAATGTTATTATTGAGACAGGGCGGTACTCAAACTTCTAAAGGGCTATAACTTTGTTACTTTAATTTTACCACAAAAATGTTAAAGGAAAAAAACATTTCTTTTGATCAGATCTACTCACTGTTAAAATAAATGACTCAACTTCGAAGTCACCCTGTATATATAGGGTGGTCCCTCCATGTGTGGACGGAATATTACTCATAAACAAATAAGTTTTGGGAAAATCAATTTATGGCATGTTATACATGATATTCGAGGGCACATTTCTAGAATATTGGCAATTATACAGGGTGTCCCAATTTTGACCTACATATCAAAGTTGTGATTTTTTAAGTGGAATGCCCCAAATTTTATTGCATATTTGGATAAACCAATTCAAAAGAAAAAGATTGATATGACATACTGTGGGGTTTTGGTAATTAGCTACTGAGACGTAAGAAAAATCCTCCACTTCGACAACCCCTCAATCCGCCATTTTGAAATTTGGAGTGCTGAATTTTGTATCGAAAAAAACTAACACACCTCAGCTTTCATCTTATATGTTACTTTTACGAATGTTCGTTTTTGCTTATGCAGGGTGGTCAGAAACGCGAATTGTACTTTTTCTCAAAAATTTTAAATGCATGTCCCTGTATATTTGTGCAAGTTTGGATTCAATTTTTTATACGCTCTTTGTTGGTATGAGGTTTGGTTCAGATAAAATCACTATATTTTGGGTTATTAAGTAAGCTTTTAATAGAACAACACACCAAAATTAAGGAAAAAAATCACATCATCCATGGAAACAAAAGACAAACAATGGGCTAGTTCCATATTGCCACTAAGAGTACAGATTTGACGTAAAAACTAATATTAATCAGAACAGTATAAATGAGCTTCAAGCCACAAAAACTGCTCGAAAATATCTCCACCATGTTGAATACATAGCCGTAGTCTTTGGATAAATGACCGTTGCACATCCCTCAACATCTCTTCCCTTATGTTCAGAAAAGCATCCTTAATTCTTTCCTCCAAATAGTTGCGCACGCGATTATGATAATGCGTATGTCCGCCGTCATGAAATACAGGTACATATGCATCTGAGCATGAGAGTCTGCAGGTTGGCATCGTCCAAAAGCAAAGGCAAATGCTCGATCAAAAAATTCAAGTATTCTGTACCTGTTAATCTGTTGTCGAAAAAGAAAGGCCACTTGTCTGCCAGTAACTCTTCCCCAAACATTCAAGCTCCATTTATTTTGGAATTCTATTTGCCTAACCCAGTAATGGTCTTCCTTCGCATAATATTGCATGTTATGCTTGTTGACAATACCTATGCTGTTAAAAGTTGCCCCATCGCTAAAAAGAACCTTATCCAGGAAAGTAGTGTCTTCACTCACTTTATTTAGCATTATCCTACTAAACTCCATTCGAGCTGCGAAATCCTGAGGACGAAGGCCTTGATGCAACCATGGGTGATATGGATGGTACCTATGCTTGTAAATAATCCTTTGGAAAGAAGTTCTGCATATATCAGTTTCTGCTCCAATTTTCCGTGCACTTAAATGGGGACTTGCCTGCAACTTTAATAGAATCTCGAACTGATTCGCCTCATTGATGACACTTGGATTATTTATACGTTTTTTACTATATCCCACTGCTCCACTGCTCAAAACGTTCTCGTAGTCTGGAAAATGTTTCCGGCCTTGGATAACGAACACCATATTGACTATTTCTCCTTTAGAAAAATATATTTTCAAACACGTTTTTATTATAATGCTCACAAAGCTAAAGATGATGCGATATTTAATCAAATTAAATTCGAAAAAGTAACAAATAGGATAAAAGCTGAGGTGTGTAAGTTTACAAATTTCAGCGCTCCAAATTTCAAAATGGCGGGCTGAGGGGTTGCCGAAGTGGGGGGTTTTTCTAGACAAAACACCGTATATCTCAATAGCTAATTACCAAAACCCTATAGTATGTTATATCAGTTTTCTTCTTTAAAATTGTTTTATCAAAATATGCAATAAAATTTGAGGCATTCTATTTGAAAAATCACAACTTTGATATGTAGGTCGAAATTGGGACACCCTCTAATAATGGCCAATATTTTAAAAATGTGCCCGCAGATGTCATGTATAACATCCCATTAATAGATTTTCCTAAAATGTATTTGTTTATGAGTAATATTCTGTCCACACATGGATGTGCCACCCTGTATATTTTATTGTCCCATAAAAGAAAAACGATGAATTTTTAACCTTACAAAAATAAACAAACATTTAGATGAAATTAGATAGTCCGAACATTTTTTTATTAGGGCTCGAAGTTTGCGGTTACTTTAAATTACGTTTTTTCTCCAAAAACAGGCGCCAACGAACTGGCATTCGACAACATCCCCAGGAACGACGAAACCCCTGCCGATGAAAAATCGGCCTCTGCAGATTTGGAATTCGTCGAAAGCATGTTTTCTGTGAGTCATACTATCCAAGTCAGATTCTCCATCTAAATAATGCATGTTCTTTTAGAGTATCGATAACGAATTGAAAAACGATGATATGGAATTGGAAGATGATACTGTCATATGATTAAGCTTAAACTTGCTGTGCTGTATAAAGTATCTGATATTTTTTGTTTTTATTTATCATAGTAGAATTGTTCTTAAGATGTAACTGCTGCTTGAATTATTTTATTAGTTTTTGGTAGTTATAGAGAACTTTTAATAATTCTGATTGTTATGGAGAAGAAGTTAGATCTTAATTTGTTGCTAAATAATCATTAAATGGCATGTAATAAAATTGTTCATGGAATGTTCTAATTTTACATGTTTGTGTTATTCGTGATTGTATTTGAAAATATACATTTTATCAAAGCTTTTTGTACGTTTTATTAACCTTCAAGTACCACAAACAGAATGGGGTATTTACTCTTCACCTTGATAAAAGTTTCGTTCACTGATTCAGAAGGCGGAGTCAGACAAAGTGTCCAGGAGGTCCGGGCACCCCCTACAGTTTGAGTTTTAATAATAATATTAATAATAATAATAATAATAATAATAATAATAATAATAATAATAATAATAATAATAATAATGTTTATTGGTCCAATTACAAAGTTTTCATATTAATAATAACGGAAATGTCCAATAAACATAATATACCCAAAAAAAGTGTACCCTTGTGCTTGGGTTTTAAACCGAAGTTGAATTACGTATATATTAATACAACAAATTTTTTTTTAAGTATACTAGTCAATTGTATAGATTTGCTTCATTTTATAATTAAATAACGTATAGGTTTTTAGTGTCAACAAGCTTATGGATTTGTAGCCTTGGTTGATTTAGGATCCATGATTTTAATTCAATTTTAAACATTTTTTACATTTTATATGTTTAAGGCTTGCAGGAATAGCATTATAAAATTTTGAGCATAGAAAATGATTTTTGGCTGATAGTTTTACCGGTAGCTAGCAAAGGCAAATCTGGTGGCTCACAACCTATTTTAAAAAGGTGTAAAGATCATAGAACCTTCCGTAAATTTTGTAAATTCTTATAATGAACACAAGCCACGGCAATACTGCGGTGAGCGATCTGTTCGAGAACGATCTCGATTACTTTGAACGGAATAAATACGCAAGGCGCGATGACAGTGCGCTCAATTTTAAACTGAACGACACAAAGTCCAGCGGTTGGGTTAGAGTAGGCCTGCAATTAAAAGCATTATGAGCATTAGCAAGAAGATGAAGACATGCCATCTCCATTCGGAATGGGAAGGACAATATTATATATATTTCTTTCAGAACTTAAGGATAAAAATGTATGTTTGTTATGTAACGCCGAGACAAGCCGCGCACTGAACGAGGCAGCCTCGGCGCGCCGCGATGTGGTTTGCCGGGGAACGAAATGCGATACACGGAAACAACGTGTTGCCGCGAGGTGCGGCTTGCTCACAGCTGATCCGTACAGGAGCACAACGCTCATTGATTACTTATTTAGTGGGCCGGTTCATTTTGATTTCCTTTTCTTTTTGTTTTATTACTTCGTTCACTTGTAGAAGATTAGAAGATGTCGACGAAAACTACGTAAGCTTGATTAATTCCGTTGAATTTGCACGCGAGGACTGAGGGAATTGAAATAAAAAGCAAACTAATAAATTATCTTTCAGCTCGGAGTGGAGCAATGAAAAATGCCTATTTTTAAGTACAGAAGTTTGTGCCACAATTTGTAAATAACCAAAAATAGACTCTATATTCGTCCTGAGGCAAATGCTGATCGAAAATTCCGTACACACTGTGCACGAACGAGGCACGGCTCGCCCGGTGCTCACTTTGATGGACCGACAGCCGATAGCTCAGGTCGCGCACGGCATGAGGCAAACCGCGCCTGTGTTGGCGCGCCGTACACACTAGCGCATCGCGGCGGGCCGAGGCTGCCTCGTTCGGTGCGCGGCTTGCCTCGGCTCAAGTGTATTCCCAGCGTTATCATCTGTTTCAGTTGCTAAAAAAGGGAATATCGAGAGACACTATAAGACTGTACCTTCGAATTTTGAAAAATCATTCCCATTACGTCCTGCAACCAGAACGGAAAAACTGAAACAATTAAAAAATCAGTTAATTGGTACAACAGACAATGTCTTTAAAAACAATCGACAAAAGTAAGGCTGCAACTGAAGCATCATACCGGGTGTCCCAGATAATTACAGAAAAGGAAAAACCGTATGAAAACGGGGAAATAATAATAATAATAATAAGATCAAGCATTAAATACAAGGTACCACCACCAAAAGTATATACTAAAACAAAGTATAGACGGTAATAACGGATCGGACAATAAAAGCAAACCGACCTGACATTATAATTCATAAGAGAAAGGAGAAAACATGTCAACTAATTGATTTAGCGGTTCCCGACGATTCCAATGTAAAATCGAAAGAAAATGAAAAGATATCTAAGTACAGAGATCTCCAGATAGTAATACAGAGGATGTGGCATGTAAAAGCTTGGATAATTCCTGTCGTTGTCGGTGCATTAGGAACTATCACCAAAACCTTCCACGGAAATTGTGACTCAATACCCGGTAAACCAGCACTCTACTAAATTCAAAAAACGGCACTACTAGGAACAGCGCATATACTAAGGAAGGTGCTTGGATAGTCTCTTTGATACCTGGTTGATATCTGGTCTATCCTTTATTACCATACAGATACGTCTGTGGAAGAAAAGGATAATAATAATAATAGTAATAATAATAACAATGGGTCTTTATTATGGTGACATATAAATCCGAACACCCAGTTTAAATGGTTTTATTTTAATAAAAGTTGGTGAATGTATTTATCTTACTGTAAATAACAAGTGAAAAAATTTTCAGCCTTATCAGTTGGACATTCCGGTTTTTAAACTGTTTTTTTTTTAATTCACTAACACTCTAAAAATGAATATTTCAGCCGCAGTAAAGAATCAACGTTGGCGGATTTTGGTTCTTGACATCCTTTACGATCGGTTACGATGCCTAGAGTACGGAGACCTGTACGATTTCGTCAACTTAGTGAGTTTGATAGGGGCCGTATAGTGGAACTTCGGGAAGCTGGACCTTCTTTTCGGGCAATTGAAGTTAGAGTGCAAAGAAGTGTAGACACTGTGGTTAGGTGTTGTCAGGCATGGCTTCGAGAAGGCCGTACGCAAAGAGCAAGGGGCACTGGACGCCGCCGTAGAACAACAGACCGTGAAGATCACCGCCTAAGATTATTGGCCTTAAGGGACCGTTTCTCCACTACCAGGTCCATTGCAAATGAATGGTTTGCAGAACACGGAAGACCTATTGGCATGCGAAGTGTTTACCGACGAATGAGAAGTTTTGACTTGTTTTTATACCGGCCACACTGGGTCCTCCCTTTAACTCGAGAACACCGACGTAATCGCCTTGAGTGGTGCAGACAACGGTCACTCTGGGATCAGGAATGGAACAGTATTGTCTTTAGTGACGAGTCTCGATTTTGTTTAGGCATGCACGATGGTCGTGCCAGTGTTAGAAGGCGACGTGGTGAAAGGAGGAATCCACAGTTTTTTATTGAAAGACATGTTCATCACACTGTTGGAGTTATGGTTTGGGATGCTATAGCTTATGGTTCCAGGTCACCTTTAATCCTCATCAGAGGTAACATGAACGCGCAGCGTTATATCCACGAAGTTCTAGAACCCCATCTTTTACCCTATCTTGACACCCTGGCAGATCCAACTTTCCAACAAGATAATACCCGACCACATGTTGCAAGAGTCACAATAGACTTCTTTCAACATAATGATGTCACATTGTTACCATGGCCACCAAGATCTCCCGACTTATCCCCAATTGAGCACGTGTGGGATACGATGGGTAGGAGATTGCTCAATTTGCAACGTCCTCCTCAGACTCTAGAAGCACTTCGAGAGGAGTTGGTGGTTGCCTGGAATGAGATACCACAGGAGGACATTGACCACCTGATCAGAAGCATGCCTAGGCGCGTTGGAGAATGCGTAGCACATCAGGGTGCATCCACACATTATTAAAGGTCAAAGGGCTTTAAAGCAGTGCAATCATTTTGAAAGTTTTATCATTTACTTATTATGCTTCATTAAGTACTTATACAAATTTTTATTAAAATAAAACCATTTAAACTGGGTGTTCTGATTTATATGTCACTTAGTATACATTACATATTTAAATAATACTCCTCAAAAGGCGGATTCTAGAAAATATCTACTCTACTCAACCTTTCGGAAAGTGATTAAAATAAAAAATTGAATGAAAAAAAACAGGCTCAAAGAGTAAGACATTAGGGCGATTTTAGATAACTATACATGGCTCTAATTAACAACGCAACAATTAAACAATTAATCCCATACTGAATCAAAAAAATAACCTATTTCACACTCCTCCTAAAGTTAGTTATAGAAAGTGCTTTGAGGTTATCAGATACGTCATTGTATATCTTGATTGAATTATATATAAATGACCGACGGAATAGCGTCATATTGTATGATGGAATTTCAAGTCGTTTTTTGAATCTGAAATTGATGTCATCATTTCTTCCGCGAAACAATAATTTCCTATATAAGTAAGGGGGAGACTGCGAAGTTATTATTTTATGTATCATAGTAGCAACTGAATATCTATACATATCGTCTATTCTCAACCATTTTAGCTCAATTATTTGGCCTGACGTTGAATCATATTTTTTAAGATTGATTTTGAAACATTTGTAATCTATTTTTCGATGCAGCATCCAGACATGGATAGTAAATAATAATGCAATAAGCAATAATAGGGAATATAAGAGATTCACATAATTTTTCCGTGTTTTAAAATTCATAATATGCTTATTGCAGTCAAATCGTTTCAAAATGAAGTAGATTTTTTTTTAATGTAACGGATAGATGTGCATTGAAGCGCAGGGAGCTATCAAACGATAACCCTAAATTTTTAGCTGAATCCACTAGTGGTAATGGAACTTCACCAATTTTTGTATCAAATTCCGGCAGTAAATATCACGACTATTGTTTGAACGAAAAAGCATAACAGAAGACTTAGAAGAATTTAATTTCAGGTTATTGTTCTTGGAGAAATTTAGTATTCCATTGAGATCACTATTAATATCTTTAACTGTTTGAGAGACATTGGATCTAGCGAAAGCTTTCAGTAATTGTGTATCATCAGCGTAAGCTACAATTGACGAATGGAAAACAGGAAGATGGATGTCTGACGTGTACACCACAAAAAGGATAGGTCCAAGAACGGAACCTTGCGGCACGCCGGAAGTAATAAAAGATGGTCCATAAAATTTGTCATCTACAGATACTATTTGCTGGCGTTCCTGAAAGATATGTTTGGAAAAACTGTGAAGACAAACCCGCGGTAAAACCGTAATATGATAGCTTCGCACAAAGGAGCTCATGATCTATATATCCATTATCATATTGCTTGATAATATCATCTGACACTTGCGCCAATGCGGTCACTGTACTGTAACCCTCCCGGAATTCGGACTGGTACTCAGGAAGAATATTATTAGCTAAGAGATATTCGCACATTTGATATTTGTGTTACCGGACAAACCCGATTTTAGGATAAACTAGTTTTTCCTAGGCCAAACCAGTTTATCCGAAGAGCGATAGGATGAACTAGTTTATCCTAGCCTAAACTGGTTTTTCCTGAAACAGTTAATTATGATTAGGAAAAACTGATTTGTCCTAGTCTACATACAGTCTTTTGACAAAATTAACTTTTTTACTAGTAATTAAAGAAAACACCATTACATATTACAAACATGTTTAGTAATTTTTATTATTTACTTGTTATTACATGTCAAACTATTATGGCATGTCGAGTTGCAGAGAACGTTATTTTTCTTGCAAAGACATCGATTCGACATACACTTCTTGGTGCAACTACACTTAAAGAAACCTTGGCCTGTCCCAACTGAATGTTTTATCGCTGCGGTTCTTAACGAAATTTCATTGTTCTTGTTTACTTCTTCTTCCAATAAAAACTTTTGTGTGCAGATATCAAATTCATTTCTGAAATGAAAATATTCAATTAAAATCAAATAAAAACCGTAGCAAAATGAATAATTACCTGCAATATAATTTTTGTAAGATACCATGCTTGGTCCCAATCTTATAAAATCCATCATCAGATGCTTCAAGCACAACTCCAATAAAGTTCCGAAGATCTCCTTTAGCCCTGTCTACATCAGGAGTAGGTATGATGATGGTATCTCCAACTTTCGCTGGTGAATGCACCTTGTGAGAGGTTGCTTTCATCTTTTTGACTTGTTTTTCAAGGCTCTGCGCAGCCTTTGATCGTGCTTCTAAAATATTTTGTGAGGTTTCATCCATGTCATCGTCTCCATTCCTATCTTCGTCTCCATTCTTATCTTCGTCTCCATCCGTATCTTCGTATCCATAACTGCCTTCATTTTCATGTCCATCTATGTTTTTCCCATCAATCAGTTTTTGAAGATCGTCTTCGTCTTCAATGTCCGAAGGTAATGAACTAGTAGAGAGGCCAACCTTGAGTTCCGCACCAAACATGGCCTTATAAGGCGATTGTTTAATTCTAGAATGAAATGCCCGATTTTTCATAAACTGTATGTACCTTAGTCCTTCTGACCATTTAGTTGTCTCGCTGTCATTCATGCAAGCACTCAGCATGTTTTCAATATCTTGGTTTGCTTTTTCGACTGATCCCTGACTTTGACTATGTCGTCGTTTTCCATGCACGATTTTGAGCTCTGGCCATAAGCTTGTCACTTCTAAAATTACACGATTCACAAATTCTCGGCCATTGTCAGATTGTAGAATGCATGGGGCCCCGAAAGTTAAAAATATATCATTTAAATGGTAGGCTACCTCTTCTGCTCTCTTACTTTCCAATGGACGAAGCAGGACAAATTTTGTTAGGT